GATCCACCTTGGATCCACCAAGCTGCTGTTAGCATGGAAATGAGAAGCAAGCCAAACAGTATCCTTAGCAAACACTGACTCCCATGAAGCATTGCGAATGACTCTACACAAGGAAAACAAACTTTAAATATAAAAAATATATAATCATTAATTATAATTATTGTTTAATTTTGTAATGTTATATTTGATTACATTATTCACAATGCATTATGGGATGTGTAGTTCATTCAACTAATGTGTAGTTCATTAGTTAACTGTAGTTCAAAAGACATATAGTGCATACATTTGAATTTGAACTACTTCACAACCCTTAAAATTGTATGTTCTATATAGTATGAATAAGCATAGTATAAATGAAATTTGGATGTTCTACATCTGCCATGTGACCTACATTTCACTGCCATTCACAGATCCTCTCCTGTGGCCCCATGGGATAGTAAAGTGTCCACACTGCAGAATCTCACAGGAAGTGGTAGTATTCTATTTCAGACACAGCAATATGGTACAATCTATCTTTAAATAATTTTGAATGCATTTTTAATCTTGGTTCTCTTTAGAAATTTTATTGAAATCCCTGGGGAGAAAATTAATGGCAAAAATACTTCCGCAAACAAGGTTGCTGAAAAAGTGGGCGGTCCCAGTTGTGCTCCATTCAGGCACAGCCTTGCCTTTACTGTATATGAATCACACTCAGACTAACAAGCTCATGCTCTCATTCTGCTGCTAGTGCTAATGCTATTCAAACAACTTCCCTCCCTCCACAATATAAAAGGCCAACGTTCACAATAAAGATCAAAGACACTCTATCAGACATCTATATGAGGATAAATTCTGTGTGCATAAGCATATCAAACTGCATCTCTATACTGACTCCTTAAATGGCTTTAGTATAGTTAGCTACTTTGTGTTAGTAGCTACGTCCCTTTCAGTTGCTTGACTGTAACCGTTTTACATTATGAGCAACTCAGAGTAACATCTCCAACACTAATAGTATGTAGTCATCAGCTCTGCAGAGACTAAACAGCACCATTGCTAGACTGCAGTAGCCTTTATTAGCCCAACCATGAGTGTCACCAGAACTCACGACTAATTATCTGCTGTCGAGTTTTTCAGGAGCGCTGTAACACCGAGCAGATGCGGAGCCGCTTTCTATAATGGCAACATGCGATCGTCGCGGTCTAATTAACGGAAAAATGGAAAATAAAAGTTTTTAGTGATTTAATTAATACTATCACACATATCAGCAACTCCTTTAAAAATAAATTAAGTGTTATAATTGAGTGGTGCTGAGAGAAAGCGTGCATTCAAACAAAGGAAAAATAGAAAAATATTGATGGAGGGAACTAAATGGAAAATAAAAGTTTTCAGTGATTTAATTGCTATCATACATATCAACGACTCCTTTAAAAATAAATAAAGTGTTATAATACTGAGAGAGATGTGGATTCAAACAAAAGAAAACCTGACAAATAGATGAACACTAGAAATATCGGTAACACTTTAGTTTAGGGACCAGTTCTTACTATTAACTAGTTGCTTATTAGCATGTATATTACTAGCATATTGGCTATTTATTGGTACTTCTAAAGCACACATTAATGCCTTATTCTGCATGTCCATATTTTAGATACCTTAACAACTACATTGCTAACTATTAATAAGCAGCAAATTAGGAGTTTATTGAGGCAAAAGTGGGAATTGGTCCCCAAACTAAAGTGCGACTAAAATATTAAAATGATGCCTTATGGTATCTAGTGTATTATTAGAGAAAGGTGGGAAGAATAAGAATTATTTTGATTATTTATATGCCAGTCTAATACCCCCAGTCTTCATGAATATGGTTTGCCATCAGTAGCCAATATTAAAACAATTGTGTTTGTTAAGGCAAGCATCACTGTTACTATATATTTTTTTCATATTTAGCGTAAGGTTAGTGACTCACATAACTAATTCCATACAATTTGGACAAGAATTATACCTGAAATTGAAGCAAAAAGAGATGTTCTATTATTAACACCCTTGTAACCACCTAGAACACCATAGCAACTGCATAGCAAAACATTAAAATCACTCAGAGTACCTTAGTAACCACACAGAACACTTGAGCTACTGCATAGAAACACCATAAAATAATACAGAAAACCTTAGCAAACACCAAGCAATGCCTAACAACCACACAGAGTGAATTAGCAATGCAGAATCCATCAAATATGTACAACAAGACACAGAGCCACGAAAGCAGAAAAATATGCTAAATGACTGCTTTTTTTCTTTTAAATTAAATGTGAAGAATGCATTTAGATTTTTTTCAATATTTTCTAAAGAAGTCTCTTATGCTCACCAAGGCTGCATTTATTTGATCAAAAATACAGTACAATATTGCCAATAATTGCAATTTAAAATACTGGTTATCTATTTTTATATATTTTAAAATTTATTTCGGTGTCATTACTCCAGTCTTCAGTGTCACATGATCCTTCAGAAATCAATCTAACATGCTAATTTGGTTCCCAAGAAACATTTCTCATTATTATCAATGTTGAAAACAATTCTTATATGCTTAATGTCTTTGTTGAAACCATCATACTTTGTTTCAGGGCTCTTTGATGAATAGAAAGTAAAAAAAAAAAAAAACAGCATTTATTTGAAACATAAATGTCTGTACTGTAATTTTTAGTCAGTTGAATGCATTTTTGCTGAATTAAAAAAAAACAGTATAGTGTATGATCCCTGTCATATTTTCTGTGATCATGCCTGTCTGGGTACCACGTTTTGAGGAAGCGACCTTTAAAATGATCAATTCTGTTCAAGTCTGTAAAAACTGCACAGACTTCAATGCATCTGCCAGCCAAAATGCAAAAAGGTGAAACAAATAATATACTTCCAAAAGCTATTGACTAAGAAACAGTTACAGAATACGTAACAAGTCAGAGACTAATTAACAGTCTATTTTAGCCAGAAATCTCACTCCATATGCTTAGAATCCGTCTAAGATACAGAATCATAATCACAGGAAATAGTGTATCACATGCTAAAATATTTATTCTTATTAACTTGTTTATGTATTCAAATTATTTATTTGCACAAGACAGAAAAACAGTAGACAGAAAAAGCTATGGCGGTATAAAGATCCAGCAGGATTAGCCTTTGATAAGTCAACTGCTTTACTGTGACATGAACGGAAGATTACAAAACAGAGCTCCACTATGGATACAAAATCACTTCATTCTCATTTATGTCACGACCAAATGTTTACTGAGAATCCTGAATATGATTTTACCCCGATAGACTGTCTAAATGTGTATGATAATGATTTCTGAAGGATCATGAGACACTAAAGACTGGAGTAATTCAGCCTTGCCATCACAAGGATAAATAGCATTTTACAACATATTAAAATAATTTCACAACATTACTGTTTTTAATGTATTTTTGATCAAATAAATGCAGTCTTGGTGAAGACTTCTTTCAAAAACAAAAAATCTTACCGACCCCAAACTTTTGAACGGTAGTGTATGCAGACTAAAATTAAATATAAAATAAAAATAAAAATAAGACCAAAACACTAAACTAAAACGTGAAAATAAATAAATATAAATAAAAAAATCTTACCGACCCCAAAGTTTTGAACGGTAGTGTATGTAAACTAAAATTAAAATAAAGTCTAAAAAAAAAAAAAGAAATAGAAATATAGAACTAAAAAACCTAAATTAAAATAAAAACGCCAAAGTAACAACATCAAAACTAAAATAAGACAAAAATACTAAATGAAACTATGAAAAAAAAAAAAAAAAATTAATAAAAAAATATTACAGACCCCAAACTTTTCAACGGCAGTGTATGTAGACTAAAATAAAAATAAAACTTAAAAATACAAATAGAAAAATAAAAACAAGGAACCTAAATTAAAATAAAAAAGTATAAGTAACAACATCAAAACTAAAATAAGACCAAAACGCTAAACTAAAATGTGAAAATAAATAAATAAATAAATAAACAAATCTTACGATACATAATCAAATCAAAACTAAACTAAAATGGAAATGAAAGTAAAATTAAAAATAAAAATAACCTCACTATAAGACAAGCTGGATGATCAGTTAACTAGTTGTCCATCATGATCCATATACTTATAAGTTGGATTTGAAATTCTGAAACTTACAGTACAACAGGAACTTGGTTAGTCTCTACAGTGCTCTAAAACGGTAATACTCACTTGTACTGTACTATTCAATAGGGATGCGCCGATCCGATATTCATATCGGGTATCGGCTCCGATAGTGCCATTTTTCTCAGATCGGGTATCGGTCAGAGAGAGCCGATCCAAATCCGATTATTTTTTTTTATTTTTTTTTTTCGATTGTGCGAATTATTCTGTGTTACTTCTGAAGCCATACGATAGCTTAATGTGAGCTACATATGAATATTTAAGTCCTTACATTAAAGTTCACACAAACTCTTTTCTCCGCTGTGGCTGTCAGTCATTCGTTCAGCCTTTAAACCCTGGTCGCGTTTGGTTACAGCAGTCAGCTCGGTAAAGCTCTCTCCAAGATCATTCTGTGTTCCCATTATACTTGATTTGTAAATACATGTCTATGAATTGTGAAAGAATGATTATCAGTTCCACACACAGAGATATATAATATATAATATATAAATACATTTATTTAAATGAGGGTAAAAAAAATTCACTGGTATCGGATCGGTATCGGTATTGGCCAATACCGAACCCTAGGTATCGGAATCGGTATCGGAGGCGAAAAAGGCGGATCGGAGCATCCCTACTATTCAATACTCAATTTACTGATAAGACTAAATATAATTTCACCACAATACAAATGCAAGACTGTCAAATATTTCGCAAGAGGTCTCCAAAAACTGACACACACAACCCTTGAAAACCCCTTCAGCAGCCGCTCTTCCAGCTCAAATTTGATCGATATGTGTACATTTGCCAGGCACATTTATTGTGACTATAAAAAAGGTCCATGCAGACTCACCTGGGATCCTTCTGAATGCTGTCGATGGAGGGCGAGCGGGCCAGGTTGCCCTCGGGTGGCAGGGCAGGGCCAGACTTGCTGTAGGGAGACTCCACTGAAGAGCAGTACGGCAACGTGCGGTAAGTATCCGTGTAATTGGCGCCCTGACCGGACACATAGCCGCCTCTGGGAAACGTCCCTGTGGCATTCTGACTTCCTGTTCGCTGCAAGGGTACGGAGTCAACGCCGGGGGAGGACGGGGCTATGGCAGGAGAGTAGGGACAAAACAAGAAGTTCAGGACCTGCTCACAGAACTGATTCACTAGGTCTAGGTACAGGAACAATGAGGGGACAGTGAGAAGACAAGCAGGCAAGACGTGATACAATGAAAGAATGACAAGGAGGGAGCAGAAAGGAGAGGAAGAGACGACAGCAATGAGAACGACAGCAATGAGAACGACAGCAATTAAAAGCTCCTTAACAGGTACATAATAGAGACAAAGTGAGTGTTACTAGTCAAAATCGTTCTTTGGCAGATTAAAAACGGATTTATATGAGAAATAAAATGCATTTGGATAGTTTTGGATGTGCAAAACTACATCTTTTAAAGGGGTCCTATTATGCTTTTTCACTTTTTTAATTTTAGTCAGTGTGTAGTGTGTATGTTTGGGCATTAAAAAGATCTAGAAAGTTACAAATCTCAAAGTCCACTCCAAAGGGAGATATTTCGTTTTTTTAAAATCCCTTTTCAAGAACTACAACGAACAGCTCGTTTGGACTACAGCGTTTGTTTTCCGGGCTTTGTGATATCACAAAGCGGCTCATTAGAATATCATTACAAATAATTCCCGCCTACAGAAATTCAAATGGTTGGGGGGTGGGGAGGGGCGAGGTTGTGGTTAGAATGTTTGGTTGAGTGAGTGCATCAGATGAGACAACGAAGAAGTGCTGCTGCAGAGTTAGTGCATCAGAGAAAACAAAGAAGAAGAGCTGCTGTGCTGTAGCGTCAAATTTTTGGCATGTCTAGAACAGCGGTTTTTCAATTCCAGTCCTCGCATACCCATGCTCTGCACATTTTGTATGTTTCTCTTATTGCTTCATAATTATATGTTATATTTGTTTGTTATTGTTTGTTATATTTGACTGTAAGTGCCCTGCGAAGTGGACATTACCGGATATTCCTCCGTGATTCCAGTTTGAAGGGAGCGTATATGTTCCATACAAAGGGCATTTAAGTGTGCGAGACGTGAATTTAAATTGTATTTATTTACAGACTTCTCGTCCGGTGTGCGACCGCCTGAAACACTGTTTTTTTCACCTCCGTGCCCAAACGTCTTTGTTTGGGCTTCCGAAAGCGGATGATGTCAGGAAACCGTGGTTGCAATTTATTTTTAACTCTGTTCCTGAGCATTATAACCCCAATTTGCTATTGTGTTCTGCGCATTTTACTGAGGACAGCTTCCACAACACGAGTGAGTACGACCGGATTCGCCAAAAGCTTTTGTTGAAAGACGGAGCAAGGGGCGTGGCAGTACTGAAACACCGTCTAAGCTGTTCGCCAATCACAACGCACTGGGACAGCTAACCAATCACAACACATTTTGTTTTTCGGAAGGCTGACCTTCATCAAAGTCTTCATCAAACTAATCGAGCCGTTTGTGCCAGGCTGGGGAGAAAGGTATTTTAATAATGTAAATTATGTGAAAAATAATGCGTTTTTCGAACCACCAAGCATGAGAGCATGTTCTAGTACACCCCCAAAACAAAATCAAGACTTTGTAAAAGAGCATAATAGGACCCCTTTAACAAATTTGACTAAACGTTGCCTAAACGACTTCTTAAGTAATCACAATCAGCCATATGGATGTTGCATTTCTTTAAAGGGGATGCTGAATTAAATGTCTGATTAAATTTTTTATTTTAATTTTTTTTTACATTTATTTGATAAATTATTACTTTTATTCAGACATTTATAAAGACAAACATTCTGAAGATGTTTATAAAGTGACAAAAAGTTTCTATTTAAAAAATGCTGAATTTTCTATTAATTAGAGAATCCTTAAAGTATAAAATAAATAAATAAAGGAGCACAACTGTGTTCAACATGGATAACAATAATAAATATTTCTTGAGCACCAAATCATATTAAAATGATTCATTTGACACTGAAGACTGGAGTAATGGCTGCTGAAAATTCAGTTTTGCCATCACAGTAATATAATATAATATAATATAATATAAGTTATTTTAAATTGTAACAATATTACTGTTTTTAATGTTTTTATTGTTAAAAAACAACAACAACACCACCCCAACATGTTGAATGGTATAGACTAAAATGAACCTAAACCCTAAAAAATAAAAAAAATAAAAAACTAGATTAAAATAAAAAAGGAACAAAACCAAAACTAAAATAAGACCTAAAAAATAAACTATAACTAAAATGAAACATTAATAAAAAAAATAACCTCACTATATGACAAGCTGATTGCAGGATGATTAGTTAACTAGTTGTGACCCAAATGCTGAAAATTGCAGTAAAATTCAATAAACTGCTTGATTAGTCTCTATAGTCCTCTAAAATGGTCCAAAACTTGTAATTAAATAATTCATCTCTATGCCTGATGACTCACCGATTGACCAAGCTTATGTAAGTTGTGACCGTTTCAAAAAACTGTGTGAAAATGGAAAATTAATGTCTACAGCGAGACAGGATGGCATCAGATGAAGGTGACATCACAGGTCATGTGACTCCCTCATTATCTTTATACAGGTGCAGCTGTATCTGATAACTCTAAGAGGCAGATCAATTTAAATGTGCATTTGTTTGGTTTTTAACATATTGAGGTGACAGAGTGTATCCATTTTGCTCAATATGAGGGTAATGTGGCAGCCACTGTCTGCTAGACAGTCACAGTGGAGTGTCTCATAAATCTGCAGCGCGAGACGATCAATGGCAGGGTTCAGAGTCTTTACCACAACACTGCCAGTGAAGCCGTAAAACAGGACTATTAGTCACCAAACACAAAGTGCACCCTGGGAGAAAAGGCTCAATGTATCTTCGGAGACCATCCATGACTCTTCAGCTTCCTTTGGAGAAAATGTTGCACTCGCTTAGTGCAGGCTAAAGATAATTAGACAGAGTTTGAGATTAATGAAGACCAGTTGAAAAAGGAAAAAAGAGGCAGAGAGCTAGAAACAGGGTGAGAGAGGAAGGGGAGCCTGATGGATTGAATATATAATGAGAAGCTGACAGACAGAGGAGAAGTTTAGCTAAAATAACTAAAACTAACCCTGGAATAAAAGTTATGTATAAAATACACAAACACACACACACACACACACACACACACATACATATATATCACACACACACACACACTTAAATTTATGAGGCATATATTTATTTATTTATTTTATTTCTATTCAAAAGTCTCTGGAAAAAAGTAGATCACTTTAACTGCACTTTACAAAAAAAACAATGACATGGCAGAGTATCCATTTGGCTCAATATAAGAGTGTGGGTGTTTTGGCTTTGGGTTTACTCAAATTCATTACTCGAATGTGAAGATTTCAAATAAAGAAGGTCTCTAACTGGTTTAGCACTGAAGGCCCCTAGGGCTTGATTTACAGCTCCAACTGCATGTGCATACACCTTTGGCAGGTGAAAATCTATCTGTATGCCATTAATTATCGTGCAAAAAAGGGCTAATTAAATTTCAGTCTTTAACTAAAAGCAGAGTAACCGACATTGACTGTTTTGAATCTCACTCGATCTCACATAGTAAGGTCACACACTGATTCAGTTAATGAATGAAAGATGATATATCATCAAATACTGCTGCAATTCTAAAAAAAATTTTCTTCTTGACACACTTTTCCAAAAAAGTAAGTATTCCGCTTATCACTGTATGTGTAAGTGCTGCTGCTCCAGGCCTCTGCGAAGACTTTATCATCATGAAGTGTTGCCACTCTGCCATAGCGACGAAGCCTCGGGAAAATGACCTTTCGGTGACCTTCAGATTCCATTAGCTTATCTTATCAGAAATGGTGTATCTTATGCGACCCCACACATCACTACACGGACAAGGGCTTTCCTCGGCACAGCGTGAGATAAAACACACAAACGGACAAGGACGCACACAAACCCACAACACACCAAAAGGTGGATAAGATCTTGCATAAAATCTCGACAACCGATCCGTCTCGTATCTATTATTAGTCATCGGCAATCGTAAACAATGCGAGAGCAGAAAGTAATAACTGGCAAATATGAGACTGCATATATTTTCGCTATAAAAATGATAGATGGACCCATAAACAACAACAAAGCAGGTGTTTATTAACTCACAGTAGGTTTTTCATCTTTTTTCATCTGTGAGAAATTTTAATGGTCAGTTCCAGCGTCAACTCAATATATTTCTCTACAACTTTATAATCCACCGCTGGTTAATTCCATCACCGTAGATCCTGTCCTCTATCATTAAGGGTAGGTGAGAATAAAACGGCGCATTGGCTGGTACAATGGCTGGTAAATACATCTCTCTGGGGCCACACTGTGCATTCACCGTCTTAGTGAAACGCTGACAGTTTCTCTTATTCATTTTGTACAGAGGCTGTTAACGAGGGCAACTATCCGATAATGTGCTTTAGTGAATCCTGCTATTTCCTGACAACAGCGTTTGACGGTGTAATTCTTTAATTAACTCGCATACTAAGCCTTTTTGCTGTGTTCTACTTCCTTTGACACCGTATACAGTCTTTTCTTAAGCCAGTTTGAAGGACACTTGTGAATAACGGCCAACTTTCCTCTGCTAATCTGCGCCTTCTCTCTCTGAACCGTATAAAGCAACATGACAACCAATCATTTTTTTCTTTCTTTTTTTCTGCTCAGAATCATAATACGTTATTGTACAAAAGTTAAAAAGTCAGTATGATCTTTTTTAAGAAACAATACTTCTATAAGTGTGCATTACATTGATCAAAAGTGACAGTAAAGATATTTATAATGTTACTAAAGATTTTTATTTCTAATATAGGCTGTTCTTTTGCACTTTCTATTTATCAAAAAGTCCTGAAAATTGTAATACGATTTCCACCAAAAATGACAGCAGCACAACTGTTTTCAACATTCAAAATAAGAAATGTTTCTTGAGCACCAAATCAGCATATTAGAATGATTTCTGAAGGATCATGTGACACTGAAGATTAGAGTAATGATACTGCAAATTCAGCTTTGCATCACAGAAAAAAAAAAGAAAA